CGACCTGTGTGATGCAGAAGTGGATCATCGTTGCTTATGCGGCATGGTGCGGGCCAGTCCCCATCCATCGCCAGCAGCATGTTGATTTCACTACGATGTAATAAATTGCGATGTGCAGTCACTTCGTTTGTCCAAGGAACATGCCTATGTATATATCTACATATTCCGACGACTATGGCATCCCGGATGGACACTATTACCTTATGGATGATTTCATTTCCTTATATTATTCGTGGTATCTGGGATGGCTATTTTTTGCATACGCGCTGTTGTGAAGTTCTTTGGCCAACCCATTTCGGTGGATGACAGCTGCGTGATGCAAATACGGCAGCTGGGATCTTCAACGACTGCGTTGTGGTACGAGGCATAATGCCTCATGTCTCTGTGTATAGGAGCGTACTGTGGTCTGCGGATGCACGAGTTTTGATTTAATCGCACCCGGCTGAGTTTCACAAAGAATAGATGGCGGTACAATTGTGAATGAAAGAGTATTTCGACACAGTTTCGTAGTCCGAGCCGTGACGATTGGGACTTGTTGTGATGTTTGGACCGAATGATGAACAGTGCGACCCAAATGGGGGATGTTAAAACCCTCCTGGCCCCGTGCCTAAATTGGGAAGCCGTTCTGAGGTCCATGTTCTCTTTGGTTGAAGTGTTCCAATGGATGCCACCTTTGGCTCAAGACTCAAGTAGGGCTTATGGTCTTGCATGGACTTGCATTTACGTGTGTTCGATCCGAGTGAGAGGAAACAGGTGCGATCGCGCTGCTGATCTCGAACGTGTGTGGTTATTGAAGAACACCCTTACAACATTTTACACTGGTTTGGCTGTATCGGTTTAGCCGTATATCTTCACCACGTGATTGAGTACATTCAGCTGGAAGCTTGGTGGACAGCGCCCCACGGGACGTCATCTTGCGCTCTTGACATTGGTGTTGGTGTTGGTGTTGGTGCTGCTGCTTCTGCTGCTGCTGCTGCTGTTGTTGTTGCTGCTGCTTTTGCTGTTGCTGTTGCTGTTGCTGTTGCTGTTGCTGTTGCTGTTGCTGTTGCTGTTGCTGTTGCTGTTGTTGTTGTTGTTGTTGTTGTTGTTGTTGTTGTTGTTGTTGTTGTTGCTGTTGGTGTTGGTGTTGGTGTTGGTGTTGGTGTTGGTGTTGGTGTTGGTGTTGGTGTGGGTGTGGGTGTAGGTGTGGGTGTGGGTGTGGGTGTTGATGTTGTTGTTCTCGAAGCGAAGCCTTTGTCGACGCGCTGTCTACAGTAATTGCCGGCCGGGGCAACATGATTGCCTGCGCAGTTACTGCGTTTCGCATTGGTGTTGCATGTCCTTGCGAGGGTTATGCGTGTCGTCCACTGCATGGGCTTGATTCGGAATATTCTCGTCTCTGCGTCCTCATTTTTCGCAGGCCCCGAACCCTTGCGCGTTTCTCACGTATCGTACATGCTTCAAGCCAAACTTGCAGAACACAAGGCCGGGAACACCTGCGTAGCGCAGCGCGCAGTTGGGCTGCGCCCTGTGCAAGGCAAGGAACAAAATTCATTTACCCTGCGTTGCCAACGGATGTATTTATCTAGCTCAAACGGTGGGTCGGGAGGAACACACTCAAAAGGTCCGCGAAGGCACTTGTGTGATATATTGTGCGCCGCAAAGACCCGCGAGGCATTTCGCGTAGCTTAGTAGCATTGACACAGGCGAAGCCACTTTGCAAAGCCACTTTGTGGTGATAATGCGCTTTCATAACAATAGCATGCCGAAGGTTGACGCTTAGAGTCACTTTCAGAAGACTAAAGAGGGTCAGAGACAAAGTTAAAAGGGTGGATTAAACTTATGACCCCCTAGCCCAGAGGTGGGTGCACAAGAGTTTCCGCCCCCCGAGCTTGTCTCTATGTTTAAGCGTTTAAGTGTGCCCGCATCTACTTTGCAGCTTCAACATTTTTTCTTCAGGAAACAAATTGATAGAATGAATGTGCTCTGCAATAATGAATTAAAAAATTTGCAAGATATACATAAGCAATATATATGTATGTATGTAGTTGTATATATACAACCTAGAGGCCAAAAGTTTTTGCCCCCCTAGCTTATCTCTATGTTTAAGCGTTTAAGCGTGCCCGCATCTACTTTGCAGTTTCAACATTTTGGTTCAAAAAACAAATGGCAGAATGTAGGAAATATTTGCAATATATACATAAGCAATATATATACATGTAGTTGTATATTACACACATATATATATACGTATACACAATAATGTTTGCATTTTTGTACCTACCTGAAGTTTGTTTTGTGCTATTCCGTTTCATCTTATTGTTCTGAATCTTCATGTGATATGTGTATATATATAGTTATGTTTGTATGTCTGTATGTGGACAGGTATATATTCATATATATATATATATATGTCCAAATCATTACAACCACCAAGAGCATGGTCTGGTTGCGAGCCACATACCGGTCACGCAGTGTTGACAGGTCGAATGACGGCAGTGCGGATCCTTGCGTTTGCATCTCGTGTCAACACGTCTGCGAAGCAGAGTACGTTGCTTAATCTCTGCGATTGACGCGCAAACGCACGGCTTGTTTCACTGCTGCGGAACATGTACTCCGCATCGCGTACTTTGAGGCACGCACGAGCATGTTGTTTCCATACTGCGACTAATACATCCCATGGCCGGCTGTCTCATATCAAGACCCCGTTTTTTTCGAGCCAGCCCGGCGCCGCGCATCATGGACTTTTGTTGGGAAGGAGGTCTTACGCCTTCAGGAAACGCATCGGGCAAGGGCAACTCTGGATGCTTCATTTATCGGGGGCCGCATGGCCCATGGATGCCCAGACCGTCAACATGATGACATGCGAAAAAAAGAACGGCATTGGTGGTGGAAAGCCTTGTGGAGCGATAGGATTTAGAAACACGCGAACACCGACCGAAATAGAAATACAAAATATTTTCTTCTAAAAAATCCCAACGTAATCTCCCTAGCAATGTACAAAGCCTGAACCTCAAAAAAAACAATACCCAGGTTTCCCTTTGAACCTTATGCCCATTGCTTTTCCGTGCGGATTGCTTTGTCGGCCTGCTAGCCGGTCACCTAGTTCAGACGCTCGGCCGGCCAGTCAGCCTGCAAGCTGGTTCGGTTTGTTTTCTGGCCGCTCAGCCGGCTGCCCATTTCAGTTCGCCGGTTAGTGAATACTTGACCGGTCGGCTTGCGGTTGACCGACTCGAGTTAGCCGGTTCCACTAGCCAATTGGCCAGTCAGCCGGTTAGCTAGTTCGGCTGACCGCTCAGCTGGTTCCGGTTGGTTGGCCGGCAGGTTCGGTTAGCCGGTTTGCCGGTTTGGCTGGCTAGCTGGTTGGCCGGTTGCCCGGTTAACCTGTTAGCCGGTCGGTTGGCCGGTTCGGTTCGCCGGTTGCCGGTTTGCTGGATCGTTGGCAGGTTGACCAGTTGGCCGGTGGCCGATTCGGTTCGCCGGTTGGCCGGTTCGCCGGTTTGCCGGTTGCCGGTTTGACGGTTCGCCGGGCGGCCGGTTGCCGGTTCGCCAGTCAACCGGGCCGGCCGAACCGGCTAACCGGCCAACCGGCCAGCCGGCCAACCGGCCAACCGGCAAACCGAACCGGCCAACTGGCTAACCGGCCAACCGGCCAACCGGCCAACCGGCCAACCGGCCAACCGGGTGGGGGGGGGCGGGCGGTTCCCGGTCCGGTTTGCCGGTGACGCCATACTCCTGACCACTCGCCCAAAGCGATTCGACCTTTTGGACCTTTTCGTTCCCCCTAACATGGCTGTTGTTGGTAAACATTTTACAACTGCCTTAACCTAAAGTTTGACTCCCCTATTTTTTGGTCCATTTTTAGTCCGCAGCTAGCTTTCGCTCAGCCCTCCGCGAGTCCCATGTGGATAAGGCTCAATGGGAGCGGTCCATAAAGTCAACACACGTGCCAACATAGGGGGACGCTACAAATGATTACGCATACAACGTAGCGTCCCCCTATGTGTAGCGTGATACTCCAGGACGCTCCATCACGTAGTCATGTTTGTGATTTTCCTGGAGCTCAAGCTGAAAAGAGCACCGTCAAACAAAACACACGCACACGCATGCATTGTGGTGAAGAGATCTTAAGAGCTTGCCCATTCATTTTTCCGACCAACAGGGGATTGTGCAACGGGGCGATCGTTTTTGGTCATTTTATATATACATATAATTATGTATGCAGGTATGCACCTGAAGGCTTACAACATATGGCCCTGAATGAAAGATATAGTTTTGGTTGAGGGGGCGAAAGGTGCGGGAACAACTTAGCAAAAGCCATGCGTAAAACCCATTCCGCGGCTTCGAGAGTTTAATTGAGATGCGAGCTTCCGAACTAGACGTCAGCTTGTAGATGCAAAAGGAATGCAGAAGCCCAGTTGTTGCCCCCAAATGACCCCCCTAAAGCCACAACTGAGTGCCATGGGGAAACACAAAAGAGCTGGGGTTAGAGGAGTGGAGGGGTTGGGATTTGAGGGTTGGTGGATCTCCAATACCCTCAATCCACTCATCGCAAATCGGACTACAAAGTTATCACCCCATTCTACCCTGCGGGGGGTTATGCAGTGCAGAGGCTGTTGGGGCACCGTGTCGCAGTTTTCAGAGGCGTGGCTGCATGTTTCATGTTGGCTAAGATGATTGCATCAATCGACTGCAGCTTCTTGTGGTTTGGCCCAAGCCCCGTTCACGATCAGATGACCACTCCGAACACAGTTTGCAGCGGCAAGGAATGGGACCCTATGGGACCCTGGAACCCATTGCGGGGCTTCTCCTTTTGGTTTCCCTTGCTCTAAGACTGAAGACCCTAGGTTCGCACTATATTTTCTTGTCCTTGTTGGGCAGAGGACCGCAGGTCAGTGCTCAAGTTATAGCGAAGTTGCAGGCTTGGAAATGTATTGAAGCGCCCCCTGTTCCTCAGTCAACAATCCGCACGGGAAAAAGCATCGGCTCGAACGCGTGAGATCGCGAGAGTTCGATGCGAGGCATAGGAAGTTTCACCTGGTCCTGGAGGCGGAAGGCCTGACAGTTCCTAAGGGCAAACTGTCGATCAACAGGCTGAGCTGCGCAACACGCCCGAAGACATGTTTCGGCTTCATGTTGTCTTCTCCCATTTGGGAGTGTTTTTTCTTTGAGGCTCGGTACCCCTGTTTTGGTTTTAATGAGAAACCAAGCGCAAAACCGAAGCCTTTTGGCTAAAAGAGACACCCGTTTGGGACTCACGTAGGGCACATGACCGGTCCAGTTACTTGTGCAGAAGGGAATCCATGACTTTAGGGTTTTGATTCCCTGGGTTGATTGACCGTTTCAACCCTTCAGTAGGGGAGTGCTGGCCAGTGGTTTTGGATGAACTCCGGCTGCTGCGTGCAGGGTTCCACTTTTGCTCGGGCAGACTTTCATCTAGTGGTTCATTCCCTCGAAGAGGAATTTTCTGGGTTCGAGAGTAAGACTTTCACCAAGAAATGGTTCAGATGAACCCTCCTGGGTTCAAGTCCGTCTTGAGGTCGCCGGGGAGTCAAACCCTGGGACCCCCGGCTGGCTTTAGACCGGGGAGCGTTTTCCCGCCCGCCAGGCGGGCGGGCCATCTCGGCGGCCACCCGGACCCTGATGCCCGCCATCTCCACGCGGGCGTCTCGGCAGAAGACTCGGGCGGAGGGCGGATGGCTGCAGAAGTTGTCCCACTGGAGGTACGAGCACCCCTCCCTTCCACGAACCATGGCACCTGACAGGTGGCCCCCAAGAGGAAATTGTTCGAATTTTTTAGCTTCCGGGTGCCCTGCGACAAGTGCCATGTTAGTGGCCGGGAGGGTGCTCAGTTGTTCAGTGGCACCATTTGTTTCCCCTTGTTGGTGGTGACTGCCCCCCGCCAAATTTGGTCTTCCCCAAAAGGGGTTCTCTTGTTTTTCCAGGGAGTTCCGTTTCGGACTTTAGTGGCAAAGAGCCTGCAACGGTAGGCTTGCTGAAGATTGATGTCCAACTATAGGCTTGATGTCCAACTATGTGCCAGGCGATTTATAAAATGTACAGTTCCGTTGGGCCCTTATTGCCTCCAACGGCTGCAAGGGCAATGACGTTGGACACCTGTTTGGACGAGCACTGGAGGTTATTTGCGTCTGTTGACCGGCCCATCGAATGGTCTGGGTGAAGGGAACCTCCACGCAACAGGAAGTCTGCGTGCCGCAACAGCTAGGGTTGCTATCGAGGAGTCAACGCCGCTCTGCTTTGCTTTGGTGGTGAGACTGAGCCCCTTTGCCATCGCATGAGCATCCTTGAGGCTTTTGCACGGATTGACCTTTGGGTGCCTGTGTGGTTGCAAATTAGCTTCCAGCAAGCCTTTTAGGTGAGGGTCCTGCGAAGTAAAGTAGTTTATCTCTTTGTTCCCCGCCCGGAAGGGGTCATCCCAAAACAGGGTTCCCATGGCATTGGGTCAACTGGGTCTCTGAGCTTGTCCAGGACAACAATGCCATTATCTCGGCCTTAAGCCAGCTGGCGGCTGACATCGACTCGCTATGCGAGTTTCAGCGCAGGCAGTTTGAGGGCAAGGAGCTTTCGGGGGCCGAAGGGCGCAGCCATCCATCTCAAGGGCGAAATGATTGGACACACACACACACACGTTGTTCTCCTATCTTCATGGCTTGTTCGTGTCGAAGTACCCCACCCCATGCTAAGCAATTATGCGAGCGCTTGTAGTACAAGCCTCTCCCTTGTGCAATACTGGAAGGAGCCTTGCAACTTCAACACCGGGATCCATGGTGGGTGACACTCTGACACGCCATTCCCACGTACCTTGCTCGGCTTCCGCCTATAGCAGTTTAGTGGGATGTAGAATGATGGATTTGGGGGGTAATGTTAACCCCGGATTAATAAAGCCCTGGCTGATTAATAGGGGGCTGTCCCCTTTTAGCGGTTGGATTCATCACTTTCGGGGGGAACACCCCCCCAACAAATTGGACGGGTGTTTTAATCCTGGGTCAACATTACTTGCTTTGTGGGCTGTGTCACGGAGAAAAACCAAAGGAACACGGATCCACTAGCTGGCCCCTTGGAAGACAAACCTATTTCCAAGAATGGATTGAGGCTCCCCAAAAAACTTGGACGGGTGCGTTAATCCTGGGTCAACATGACCATTAAGCCCTCAAGGTGGGAGCGAAGCAAGGCCATTGCACTGGGGCGGCAAAGGGACCGCGACGGGCGTGGGGGTCGTAAGAATCTTCGAGAAGGATTCCGGTGCACTTCTGTTTCATGGTGGTTGGGAAACATTGGACACATTTTTGCTTCTGGCGGTTTAGTGGTCGAAATCCAACCACTGAACCGCGAAAATTCAATTTTTTGCTCCCCTAACCCAACGTCAACCAAGGTTTGGCGGGGAGGGATGGGGAGGGATGAGACCGGACAAAAAGCTAGGACCCTCGCTTATTGCTCAGCTACTAGCTAGGCAAGAGGCTTTCAACCATTGGATATCTGCCCACGTCAAAATGACTGGATGTTCGAAGTTTGTTCCATTGAATGTACCCACCTGATACCTAAAGTACCTGCGCCCTTTGCTTTGTCTTCAAGCTTGGAATTTGGGATTCCTGTTACGCCTGTCCTTCTAAGCCTGCCTGTGGGTCATATGTGTGGTGCGGAGCCTCCCTGCAGAGTGGCAAAGTCGCCAACCTGGCTTCGACTTTCACCCCTTGGTGTTTTAGTGAGTCAGGGGTGCCGATGTTTTCCGCAACGGGTCCGGCCACTGGCTTTCCACTTTGTCTTCTTCGAGTTATGGATCCCAAAGGTGTTGACCCTTGTCTCCGGGTCATTTGGTTGCAAGTAAGCTTTATCTTGTGACCCCCTCCGTCTTGGGAGGGATAAGAGGCGGTTCTTTCTACACGAGAAGATAGGCCCCTGAGTGTTCAGCTCTTTTAGCCAATGAGTACCTTTCCCTTCCGATTTTCTCATGTTGGTCCATATTTCGTCAGGCTTGGGGCCCATTTAGTTCCAAGTCCTTGGTTGCAAGGTTAACCTCATGTGCCTTTGAAGCCTTTGGGGGCTTCTTCTTTTCTTTCGCGAATCCTGAAAATCGGTTCGCGGATTCGCGGATTCGCTGAGTTCGAATCTTTGTCTTTTTGTTTCGCGAGGACAGTCGGGGGGAAGCGATGCTCATGCAGCGCTTGCGGTCCTTTGTGGCGGCAGGCGCTTCCGGGAACGTAGCAGGCCCGACTTCTGAATCAGGTTGTTCTCAGGCGACCTTCGAAGAAACAAATGTCGCCTCCTTCCGCCAACCTTGCCCCACAACCTTCTCATTCAGATTTTTGTTTGGTATGTGTGGCCCTTAGTCACTCCCAATGCTTCCAGCAACCAGGGTTTGTTCCTCCAGGTGTTGCATGGGTTCCCGTACTTGCAATAGTGGTAGCTGGAAGCAATGGGTTCTGGAAACGGCTTCCCTTTCTCTTCCTCTCAAAGATAAGACATCAATTGTGCCCAGGGTCTACGGCTTACTTCCTCCAGAAACCCTCGAAATGAGCTTTGCAAACTTTACGGTTTCTCCCAAAGGCGGTGCCCAAGCATGTTCCTGCTTGGCCCTGGTGGTTTGTAGCAAACACGTATCTTCAAAGATCGAATCAATGTCTGGGTTCTCAAAACCAATTCTGAATCCCTATGCCAGGTTGCGATAGTTTATGCTTTCGTGGCGTCCCACTGTGGGCTAGGGCTAGGATTTGGGGACTCCTCACTTTGCGCAACTCAGATGGTTCCTTTCCTAGTTGACACTCCCATGCGATCGACGTACGTACATATATACATATGCATATATGGCCATGGTTCAAAACCAATGGTACCATTTTGGGATAGGTGCACCACCCATTTTAGTCTATTTGATTGGGGATTGGGATGTTCACTGGGGGTACGGGGTTTTGGCCTATGGCCATATATATATATAATATAAATAAATAAATATATATATATATTTATACATATTTGCACGCGCGCACACCCTTCCACCCATCAAGATGGAACCTGAGGAGGTTCCTGGATCATGCTCCTCGAGAGACCAATTTGGGTTCCATTTGGGTATCGCTTGAGTTGCCAAGAGTCAGGCGTGTTTCTTGGCAGGATTCTTCATTCTTCTAATGAAACACCAGCAAGTTCATTCAATTTGTCCGACCAAATCGTCCACTCAGATGGCTTTCAATCAGAATGTGATCCAGGTGTAGGAGGTATGACGGGCTGCTTCTCCAAAGCGCTGCGGCCGACGGACTGCTTTGACAAGAGCCAGTCAAGTGACACCCCGAATGTGTCACTCCCAATTCTTCCAGCAACCAGGGTTTGTTCCTCCAGGTGTTGCATGGGTTCCCGTACTTGCAATATTGGTAGCTGGAAGCAATGGGTGCTGGAAACGGCTTCCCTTTCTGTTCCTCTCAAGGATAGGACATCAATTGTGCCCAGGGTCTACGGCTTACTTCCTCCAGAAACCCTCGAAATGAGCTTTGCAAACTTTACGGTTTCTCCCAAAGGCGGTGCCCAAGCAGGTTCCTGCTTGGCCCTGGTGGTTTGTAGCAAACACGTATCTTCAAAGATCGAGTCAATGTCTGGGTTCTCAAAACCAATTCTGAATCCCTATGCCAGGTTGCGATAGTTTATGCTTTCGTGGCGTCCCACTGTGGGTTAGGGCTAGGATTTGGGGACTCCTCACTTTGCGCAACTCAGATGGTTCCTTTCCTAGTTGACACTCCCATGCGATCGACGTACGTACATATATACATATGCATATATGGCCATGGTTCAAAACCAATGGTACCATTTTGGGATAGGTGCACCACCCATTTTAGTCTATTTGATTGGGGATTGGGATGTTCACTGGGGGTACGGGGTTTTGGCCTATGTCCATATATATAATATAAATTTATATATATATATACATATTTGTACGCGTGCACACCCTTCCACCCATCAAGATGGAGCCTGAGGAGGTTCCTGGATCATGTTCCTCGAGAGACCAATTTGGGTTCCATTTGGGTATCGCTTGAGTTGCCAAGAGTCAGGCGTGTTTCTTGGCAGGATTCTTCATTCTTCTAATGAAACGCCAGCAAGTTCATTCAATTTGTCCGACCAAATCGTCCACTCAGATGGCTTTCAATCAGAATGTGATCCAGGTGTAGGAGGTATGACGGGCTGCTTCTCCAAAGCGCTGCGGCCGACGGACTGCTTTGACAAGAGCCAGTCAAGTGACACCCCGAATGTGTCACTCCCAATGCTTCCAGCGACCAGGGTTTGTTCCTCCAGGTGTTGCATGGGTTCCCGTACTTGCAATATTGGTAGCTGGAAGCAATGGGTTCTGGAAACGGCTTCCCTTTCTGTTCCTCTCAAGGATAGGACATCAATTGTGCCCAGGGTCTACGGCTTACTTCCTCCAGAAAGCCTCCGCTCATGTTCCTGCTTGTGGTTTGTAACAAACGCCCTTCCAAGATCGAAGGGTCTGGTTTTCTCTTAATTTCATGCTTCCCTATGCCAAGTTATTTTCGTTTCCCGTGGTGTCCCACCGGTCAGAGCTAGGATTAGAGACTTCCTCACTTTAGACAACTCAGAGCATGGCGGCTGCCCTTGTTGACACTCGCATGCAATCCATGTATATATATATATATTAATAATCTGTTTGTATACATATAGATGCGCGTGCACTCCCTTTCCCCAGTAACATGGAACCTGACGAAGGTGGTTCCTGGATCATGTTCTTCCAGGGGCCAATTTGGCTTCCACCTCATTCTTACCTGTTGATATGCCATGAGTTTGACGTGTTTCTTGGCAGGATTCTTCATTATTTTAGTGACGCGCCAGCAAGTTGATTCAGGATCGTGGACTCAGAAGCTGAGAGGGTTCATAGTGGCTCTGCACGTTCCATTCGTTGCCCTTTACACGCCTTATCAAGCAAAGGGCCAAGATCATATGTCCTGAACCAGGGTAAACATGGTTGTTGTTGGGAAACATTTTCCATTTTGCTTATGGTGATTTAGTGGTTGAAATCCAACCACTTAACTGCTAAAATTTCAGAGTTTTTGCTCCCCTAACCCAACGTTAACCAAGTGAACAGAGAGGTGCCGCCTCCTTTGTTCGACACGCGAAAGGGCCCAAAAAAGTCCAAGGACATCCCGTCAAGGCACCCCCGGGGGGGGGGGGGGTAAGGGCACCTTCTGAATTTCTCCACGCGGGCGTTTTCTTTGTGCGAGAGCCGAAGCGATAGGCCTGCCTGGTGGAAGCCAGCATATATATATATATATACATTTATGTATACATTATGTACTATATATAGATATGTACATTCATATCAGGATATGTCTTTGTATGCAAATATACATATATATATATATATATTTATATATGTATATATATATCCAGCGTATCAGTATTACAAGCAGCCAGAATTGCTGGACGAAGAGTACGCGGTATGGGTCTACACGGAGGGCTCTAGCCCGCTGCTCCCGGCGATGCACGCCATTTTGGGCCTCAAGAAGCTGGACGGCATCTCGCCCAGAACGCGCTGCCACATTGTGTTAATATGTGTTGTTTGTACTTATTGTTTGTTTGTTTGTGTTTTGTTTTGTTTGTTTGTTTGCTTGCTTGCTTGCTTGCTTGCTTGCTTGCTTGCTTGCTTGCTTGCTTGCTTGCTTGCTTGCTTGCTTGCTTGCTTGCTTGCTTGCTTGCTTGCTTGTTTGCTTGCTTGTGTGTTTGTGTGCACTTGTTTTGGTGCTAGCTGTGTGTCTGTTCTGTTTGTTTGGGTTATTGTTTGTTTGTTCTTGTTCTTGTTCTTGTTCTTGTGCTGGCAGTGTTGCTGTTTTTGGCTTGTTTATTTATTTGTTTGTGTGTTTGTTTGTGTGTGTGTACTTGTTTTCTTGCATTGGCTGTGTTGTGTGTTTGTTTGTTTGTTTGTTTGTTTGGTTGGTTGGTTGGTTGGTTGTTTGTTTGTACTTGTTTGTTTGGTTGTTTGTACCTGTTTGATTGTACTTGCTTTTTGTGCTGGCTGTGTTGTTTGTTTGTTTGGTTTGTTTGTTTGTTTGTCTGTCTGTCTGTCTGTCTGCCTGCTTGCCTGCTTGCTTGCTTGCTTGCTTGCTTGCTTGCTTGCTTGCTTGCTTGCTTGCTTATTGTTTGTTTGTATGTGTTTGCCTTTTTTTTGTGCCCTGGATGGCATTCTCTGGGGAGTGGACCCCTCTCAGGCTAATGCTCTGGGATGCTCTGGGTTTCCCCCAGGGTAGCCCCCCCTCTGAACTTGGCTGTATGCTTAGATTTTGGCCAGTCGCCCTGGACTAAGTCAGTGTTCCTTCACTTTCTGAAAGGCAACCGCGTTCCAGAACTCTCCATGCCTGCAGGGCATATCCCAAACGCCCTGGCGGCTACTCTTGAAATCAGTCACTAGCAACAAAATGTGGATCATACACTGACTGTCGCTTTTGCTTGAACAGCATCTTTTGGTCGCACATGCACATCCTTTTTGCCATCCATGCACAGCTGTTGTCTCCGGATTTCTGTTTTGGTCCAGTGAGACGCTGCTCAAAGCTTCGGGCCGGGTTTGTGGGTAAGGCCACCGGAGAGTGAGACCGGCGTCGCATTGCACTGTGCCACACTATCCTTTCTCACGGATTTTGGGACCATACAGTTGCATCTTGCCAGGCAGGTTTCAGCTCATGCACAGCTAGGTCCAGTAGTGCCCTTTTCCCCTTTTTTGGGGGGAGGGTTCCCCTACTAAAATAGGCTACAGAAAAAAGTTGGTACCCTTATTCTAACCTCTCTACTGGAGGACCTAAACAGTTTAGATGCAGGCTAGCATCGCCAGCTTCACCAGCCATTTGCCCTGTTTGGACTTCAACTTTTTGCCAACTAATGGGTTTTCCGTATTAAACCGCTAAAAGTTAAACTTTTAGCAGGGGAGCAAAAAACAACCGAGGTTTAGATGCAGGCTAAGATCGGCTATTGGTTTGCCCCACCTTGATTCATGCGCCTCGAGGCATCTCTGGGCCACTGCAGGAGCATTGGCAGACTCAAGGCGGGAATTGGCGGGCGTCGGTGTGGGTGGATGGCGTCAAGGGTCGATGGAAGCTGTGGATTCGAACAAGTTTTTTCAAAAACGGTAGGTTGGTCAGTCCATTGAACCGCAGATACCCTCCCATATCCTCCCATCCACATGGAAGCTGGCTGGGGTGTCCGAAGGGAATCGAACAGCATTCTCCTCAAAAAGAAACCCTGTGGGCAAGAAGGTACTTCCCTGGAACCACTAGTCTAGGGGTACCTGCCATTTCCATTCCGAACCCAGGGATCCGAATCTTTCTAGAAAACCTCCGGAAACCCAGGGAAAACGGATCCGGTTTTCGAAAGAACGATGGTTGAAAAGAATGGGGACACAACCCCTAGAATATTCGCGTCCAGTCCTGGCTTAGTCATCCTGAAAGGAAGCCACAATGCATATTTTTCCAGGCCCAAACTTGCCCAAGGCCGCCCTTTTGACATTTTGGCCTCTCAATTTTGGCAGATTGTGTAGGCGATTTGTTTTTCCCTAAGGGAGACGCGCAAGTAGTGTTTGGACAGATTCTCCCGGAGAATTGTTGCACACCTCCCCTCAATGGAATTCCTAGATTCTGAGGCCGCGAGGCTTCGGGCATTTGACCCGACTTCTTAAACTTCAGCGAAAGGTGCTGAATAGCACACATCAAAATATATTCAGAATATATATATATATATATGTATTCATAGGTTAATATTATACATATATGAATATTCATAATTTTGTGTACATATTTACATATGCATAAAGTTTAATCTATTCCACGCCCGTTTCTCTCGATACCAGTGAGCAAAGAATTGGGGCAGGGGGCGGGGTGGGGTTAGCTTGTTTAGCCGGGCATATAGCAGAGGTGCGATTGTTCACTTGAAGAGGGAAATTGGAGATCCCACAGCCATAGCTGCCTTTGGCCTGAAGTCCTATTTTGTTTCGTCTTTGATCTGGCAGGCTCTGGGGATTAGAAGGCAATGCAGTGTTGTCCGGCTGCTCTTGAGCTGGGCGCCTGTTCTCATTTGCTCGGCGTTTTTCACTGCGCGGGCGCGCTTGAGCGCGCTCTGCGTATCATGCCTGCGTATCTTGCCCCGACTGCACCCCTGAGCCAACAGGCCTCATGCAATCAAACCCGGCGCAACCGGACGAGCGGGCCCTGCTCTTAGGGCGTTTTTCGGCCAAAGGATTGGAGGCTAGTGAGGGGCCATATGCCCACCGCTTTGAGCCAGCCCAGGTGAGCCACGGGCAGTGCGGACCCCCACGCTTTACGTGGATTTAGCTCGGATAAGAAAATGTGACTGGGGTGGCCAGGGGTGGCATTCATTTTCGCTGGCACGCCGATAGGTTTTCGTGACAAAGCAGGTGTTGTTAAAGAAGGGAAATATTTTTTCAAATGGCAAACTAGGTCCCCCAGTAGTGCCCTTCTCTCCCCTTGGGAGAGGCTTCCCGTAGTAAAATAGACAGAAAAACAATCGGTACCATTATTCTAACCTCTCTACTGGAGGACCTAGCCAAGGAGTCACGAGGCTGGGCATCCCACTTCGGTACCCTCCCTTTCAGGGGGTCCCTTCAAAAGGAAGTTAATCTTCCAGGTACCTCCCCACAGGTGCCGTGTTAGTTGGAGGAAGGGTATCATTGATTGTTTTTTTCAGGCCGCCGGTGCATGCCCAAAAACCACCGCCTCTTCCTGGACGGTCTGGAGCAGAGCATGTCGGTGCGCGCCTACTGCCTACGCGAGTGGCGCTGCGCGCCGGTGGAACGCATTGCTGCCCTGGAAGCGCCCTGACTGCTCAGCAAAGTTTGAATTTCTTGGATGGTATTTGGTTGGATCTTTAGCCTGTACTGAAGCCATTCTGTTGAACCTTGGCTCTTCGAAATCAACCCTTTGCGATGTGTCCTGGTTGCAGCGGTGTCGTTTGGTTCTCTGGTAACGTTGGTTGGTTCTTTTGGATTTGGCTGTTTGTCCTGTTCGGTGCTGTGTGTTTGTTCGTTCTTTCTGTTTGACTTGTTGGCCCGTTTTGCATCACTGTTGCAAATGTCTCCTTTTTCACTTTGAACATGCGAGTGTTTTACTATTTCAGGGGATTCCTTTGGGCCCCTGAAGAAGGTTTTCTCCATTGGGGGGGGGGGAGTCTTGGCAGTGCGATGTGCTTGCTTCTGGCTCGTTGCTTTTTCTCCTTGCCTAGCTGGTGGCTGAAGTGTTGGCACTTTGCTACCAAGGGCTGGGAAGAGCCTGGGGCCGGGAAGGTCCTCTTTTAGAAGAGTTTGACTGGACCAAAGTCAGCACACTTTTGGGTTGTGTGCCTTCAACCTGATGGACAAAATCCATTTCGCACTAGCGGATGAAGCATGTGAACCGTGAGTAAACCAGAAAATGGTGCAGGATTTGGTCCATCCACAGTACCACTTGGATGAGTTTTGGAGGCCTGACACCTCTTTCAGCCCTTCCCTCTTTCACCCCCATCGCGTAATAATAAGCATGGGAAACGGGGGCCCCTTGACGCCCTATACGTGAAAGTCGAAATAAGCGAACATGACCGGGGGCTACCTTTTTACCTTTCGCATAAAACCCCTCCCACCAGAAAAACAAATCACCATTCACTGGTTTTTCCAAAAGTCCGCATTCCGGTGGCATGCCAGGGTCAAAAGAGGAAGAGGGATATAGGGGAGGGAGGTTTTTGTTCAGTCCTTTCAATTTGCGTTAAAACGGGTTTGCGCAGCTTGCTTGTGTTTGACCACCAAGAATATGCGATAAATCGGGCATCAACCGTGAATAGCGACTTTGACTTGACAAGTCTGACCACTGTCAGGGTGCCGCTGGTCATGGCTTCCCAGTGTTGGTTAATGTTGCGAGCGATCTTGCCTATGATGTAGGTACGCATTTGTACCGGGATGGCAAGCAATTGAGGGCAGTTTCAGGTATGGGTTTTAGGTATGGAGGGAATATACCACTCACGTAAATGACATATACTGCCTTACTAGCTTATATTGGTGGTACTGTGGATGGACGAAATCCTGCGCCACCTAAAAAGGAGTGATGATTCCCCTTTAAATACCAACTGACATCGGTTTCGTATGGTTTCAAAGTGGTGCGAATTGGATTTCGTCCACCCATATGTAAGCCTCCAGTGCTCCAACGCCCACACCTGAAAGTGTCCTTCAAAAAAAGCAAAACTTGTGTTATTTTGGACTCGGCTCATGGAAACTGGATGCCATTCACAAAGGTCACAAGCGGGTCCCAGTTTCAACGGTGACCAGCGGATCTTTCCGGTGGCTGCAAGGTGCTGGGAAAAGTGAATTAGGGTAATATACCATCGTACCAAGGTACCTGCTGTTGACCCTCACCCGGCCCTCCATTTTTGAGGGGTAGGATGGGTAGGCTAAATATGAGGTAGGTAGGATTTGCACGGCATGTTCTGCGTGCCCCAGATGTGGGCCTAGGTTTGTCTTGGTGCTGAAGAAGTCACATTGGTGATGGAATTGGGCCTTGTCCTTGTTTTTCTCAACCATCATGTCAATGCCCAGCTCACTTCGACGTAGCTGACCTTTTGCTCCGCGCTTCCTCGTTTGGACCTTTTCCCGAAAACTGGGTCATATTGTGAGCTTCCAAAAGGTGAAGCTTTCATTTGTAGTCAGGCAATCCTTAGTTGGTGGTTTGGATTGGTGGTTTGCGGACTTGGTGATTGTAGAGGGTAGATGGGAAGCCCCTCCATTTCACCACCAAACCACCGGGCTCCAAACTAATTAGAGGGGATCTGATCTAGGCCCTTTGGCTGAAAGGCTGTCTCGATCAGGACTCTTTCAACAACTGCATCGAGGCACTTTTGAGGTACTGCTCCCTCCGCGAGCGCTGCTTGGCATTTGCCGGGGAGAGCTGGAACCAGGTGGAACCAGATGGAGCTGCGCCCGCCTTCTTAGTTCTTTACATGGTTCTGGGTCGACCATTTTTTGTACCGGGTTTTGATTGTGACTCAAATGGCGCCAAGGCCTCAAGTCCTGGAAATTCTCCAAAGAACCTGTGCACCAAGGCCTTTGGGAGGATCAGCCTTTCCCATCTCCATGGGTTTAAGCATCAACTTGTGGAAGGGCTCCTTAAAAGATACATTTTGCTCATTTGAAACATGTGTTTTTTCCACCAACATAAAGGGAAACCACCATTTACAAGGCAATGAGCCTTCCGACCCGGTCCCCAGCGATTGGTGCCCTCCTCTGGTTGGGAGATTCGGTTCCCCTACGAAACTTTGGCGAACATTTTGCCAAGGGCTGTTCGGACTTCTTAACTTTTTGAGCCAACTAATTTGGGTTTTCCGTACTAAGCCACTAAAAGTTAAAAACTTTTGGCAGGGGAGCAGAAAGCAGCCGAGTAAAATAGACAGAAGAAAGTTGGTACCCTTATTCTAGCCTCTGGAGGACCTAGATGTTGACCCCATACGAATCAACCTCAGTTTATGAATGGGGTGTCCTGGGCTTAGTGGGAAATCATCACTTTAGGAGGGCAACACCCCCTATCAATAAACTGGGGTTGGTTAATATGGGGTCAACATGATCCCCCGGACCATGAGCAGTTCATGATTGGGTTTCAACCACGGCTCAAACAGTCCAAGCCACAAAGGATGGGGACTTCCTGAATGCTTCTGCAATGCCCGAGCTGAGGATTAGTCAATCGAATGTTTTCTGGCACTGCCCGGATTCGTCAGCTGAGCTCTGAGCAGGAGCAAGTGATCCGATCTGGGCGGATGGCTCTTCTGCAGATGCGGCGTATTGCAGACTCACGCCGCATGCTTCTGCTGAAGCCTCCCCCCATCTGAGAGTCGGAGTCCGTTGAAGCAATGGACGTGATGGGCACCTACAGAAGGGCTGTGGTTGTCCAATTTTTTGGGGCTCCTTTCGGGACTGTGGCTGGCTATTTGCCGCTGTAGGGTCCAAACAGGGGCTTTCCATTGGACACTCAGTTTGTCGTCGGGGGGAGGCCAAGGCCTGATTCGGAGAACTCAATCCAGGTAGCTCCCTCTAAATCCGAGGCTTTCTCACATTGGGGCCAGCGGCCCAGATTTTACTGGCTTGGTCTGCTTTTATTGCACGACGTAACTTCAGAGTCCGACCGTTTTGCTCGAAAAGAGGGCTTGAAAAATGGGATATCTTTTTGAATCCACCCTACGCTTGTTGAGTTCAGAACAAATCAGAATGAAACAACGGATTTTGACAAAAACAAAAGCTGAGGTAAAAAGAGAGTTGGATTTGGAGGAGGGACATTTTCAGAGTGTGTCTCCCAGTGGCCTGGTTGGTCCGAGCCGTGAAGAGGATTGGATTGCCTGGGCACAAGTGCCATAGTGACTGCCATGTGCTTGGAGGAAGCTTCAACTTGTGGTGAGCCTTTTGCCCAAGCCCTTAGTTGCCCAGGGGATGTATTCCTGGTTTGTTGGCAAACTTTGCAAGCTGTTGGGTCCTGGGTCGGAGATTGTTCCAGGGATGCGGCAATAGCGTTTAAACCTGGTAGGTTTCTCGACTTGAGTGCCCAGGCACACTTGGTGCCCTACGGTCTGATTCATGGCGTAGCTGAGGCTAAGGACAAGAGATTTCAGGGCAAAGCATGAGCATTCCCAGTGTAGTGACGACCACCAACTTCTAGAGAGCCTGAAGAAGAACAGTCATCAATCTTCCTCTGGCTGTTCATGAGCAGTGGCCATGGCACGTTGTGGCTGCCAAGCTGCCACGGATGTCATTTTGCTGGGCTCTGCCCATGGGCAGTGACCGAGTTTGCTATGCATGGCGGAAGCAGGGCGGTCTCAACTGCTGATTGCTGATGGGGCAGTGCCACAATTCAAAGTCGCAAGCAGCCAGACCGCATCAGAGCAGGCCCCAATGTCATCGGCAGTCAAATACCCGTGACTATGTGCAGAGATGGTGCCGTGTTAGGTCACAACACGCAAGATGGGAATGCCTCAGTGCATTCTGTTCGTTCTGGGCTGAGCTTGGCAGGCTCGGCCTTAAATCTTCTAGCGCGGATCCGTATGCTCTAACCAAGCAACATTGACCAAGTTGAGGGAAGCGCGAGGCAACCCTAGAACAGGCACAGGGACTCTCTCCAAAGCCAAGACCAGGGCATTCAGAAAACCGGCGAGGGCCAATACAAGGCTCGCAAGTAGGGGCTGCGATGACAACACGACGATAAGCAAAGATTGATTTTTCATCATAGGTGTCCTTTTGTGGTTGTTCCGGTAGAAAACAGTTGGTCGAAAAGGGTTGGCCTGGTTTCACAATCTACCAAGGCCATCCACTTTTCCAAAAGCCCAGTTGCCCAGTGGTGCCCTGTTTTTCCTTTTGTCAGGGGGAAGTTTTTTTTTAACCAACCAGAAAAACAAGTTGCCTTGTTTTTCCCATGGTTACTGGGCATCTGGGAAAGGGACACTCCTGTTCCTCATTCGGAAGACTTGAGAAAGAGTTCCCCCGGCTGGGGCCATGCATCTTGGACGGGGGACACGTAGACGTAGAACTGTTCAACCACCAAACCACTGAAAGGCACTGAAGGCCAGAAAGGATTGGCCTCAGGCAGATTTATTGGGGAAAAAGGTCTTGGTTGATCAAACTATCCATCATTCACGGATATGTGGGACAGAAGATGGTCGATGGTAGAGTGTGCGCACACCAGATTCACGCATTTCTCCCATGCATGTGTCAATTAAATGGAGTTGGATAAGGAGAATCCAGTCAAAGTGTCTATTTCAGATTGGGATTCGAGTAAGAATTCATCTATTTCAAATTGGGTTTGTGCGCAGCAATTCTTTTCCCTTCTGTGTTTTTACACTTCAGTCAACATTTAAACACAATTTATTCAAAAAGAGTTCAACTCGATTTCCTATGTTGTAGTGGGATTTTAGGTAGGAATTCCTTTCAATACAAAACTGTACTTTGCCATGCCCAAAACCACACAAACCCAAAAGAACACAACAAAGAAAGCAACCACTCACTCTCCCCAATAACTATTGGTGTTTGAGGCAAGTGTTTTGTTGTTGTGTTTTGATGTTAAAGGTGGACACCCCTACAGTGGGTGGACAAAATCCTGCACCACCTCAGCAACCCTGGAATGATGAACCCACTATAAATACTAACAGATGGTTTCCCCATGGCCTCCAAGTGCTGCCAAGTGGATTTCGTCCATCCACAGTATCCCCATGTGAGCCACAATCAAAACCTGGGTAGATGAAGGTTAGTAAGGGGCAGTCCCAGCCAGAAAAAGTTGCGGCCACCTTCTTAATTCTTTACATGGTTCTGGGTGGACCATTTTAGTACCAGGTTTTGATTCTGACTCATGTGAGAGCCCTTGTTCAGGGCAAAACAGACAGCTTCAACCTGAGATATGTCGCATGGAGCCGGTTTGCCAAGATCTTTGAGCTGCGCAATTGGCGTTCCGAAGAAACAGTCGAGGCGAGGTGCCGTCCGTGCGAGCATTATACGGGTCGTACTTGTGCCAGCGTACCCTTGTCAGGTTGTTTTGAACCAGGTTGTGGGATCAAGGGGTTTATCCCCACTTCTGTGATACACGGGAATCTCCCCCTTTACATGGGGGGTTAGTCTTTGGGAAGCCCTTTTTGTTGTATCACAGAAGTGGATTCCATTTCCCAGTCCGAGTCCTGTTTCAAAGGGCAGCCAAAATGAACGCCACCATGGGACGCCCAGTGGCGTTTTACTTCGAATGTCGGAGCAGATTCGGATCTCCCACTTTGAACAACCTTTCGGACCTGAAGACCCGGATCTGCAAGGTTGCAACTTCTAAACCTATCCCTTCCACCCTTTCCTGGGGCCCCCGAACAGGAACCTCTGACTGCTTGAGTTTTGGGTCTCCCAGCAAAAACTTTGCTGGTTTTTTGCCAAGGGATGTTCGGACTTGTGAACGTTTTGATCCAACTAATGGGTTTTGCCCGCATTAAACCAGTAAAAGTCTTTAACTGTTCTAATTAGGGGAGCAGAAAGCAAGTGAGACACTTCAAAGGGCGGGTTCCTTGCTTTTCAGATCAAGATGCTTTCTTCTGGAGCCAATGGCTTCGTTTTGAGGGATGGGCCAAGGGAAAGCACCTCGCTGCCCAAAACCACGAGAAACCTCAGCCCATCTAAGAATCTACCAGGATTCCTGGGGCGACTTGAGTAAGAATAAATATGCTGATTGCTATTTTGTCAGAGTCGGAGCAACTTGTTTTTCTCAAAACTGCTTGAAACACTTGTCAAATGTCAGGAGTATGAACCCCGATTGATGAATATGGGACTGTCCCTGATTTTAGCTGGTTCATGAGTTCTGGATGGGAACATTCCCACAGTGCTAAGCAGGGGTGTTTTTAATCCGGGGTCAACATTCTTGCCAAGGCGAATCAACCGCGTATAAGTCCAAGTTAAGGTTTTAAAACGAGTCTTCTTGGATTTAGGCTTTTTAGGCAAGCGAGCTTTGCACTCTTTGGGGGGGGGGGGGTGAATTGGTGATTTCGTGCTGGCCAGCCACCAGCAAATCGACCAATTCGATCTCAGCTTTTGGCGTCCAACAAAAAACCGGATGAATCAACCCCGGTTCATTGTGATCAGGGGGGGGTGACCCCCTTTCATGGTTGTTGTTGGGAAACATTGGACACATTTTTGCTTATGGTGGTTTAGTGGTTGAAATCCAACCACTTAACTGCTAAAATTTGAGAATTGCTGCTCCCCTTCCAACGTCAACCAAGCTTTTAGGGATTCAGACCACTGTTGGCCATAGGAAGGGCTTATGAATTTGGTAGTTGCCTCCAGGTGCTGAAGGTATCGATCAAACAAGCCAAGCCTCCGACACTTTTCAGGCTGGAAGTGGTTCCCTGCTTGATCTGCACAAGAGTAAAACCTATCAAACAAGGGGTTTTTGCAAAGAAGACACCCCATATAGTTCGCCAATTTTTCCGGGAGCTCTTTTGAGGGGTGTCGATTTTGTTGGGGGAGCTGTTGAAGTGGTCCTGTTGTTTTTTGGGGGGCCCAAGGTGGAGCAGTAGCAGGACGAAGGTCCACCTTCAGCGGGTGAAGGACAAGAAGGCTCGCCCGGTTGAATACACTCAGGTAAGGTGAGCCACAATGAAAACCGATTCGGGTAGATGAAGGACATTTGTATCTTAGGTACATGGCTGTGGGTCAAAATTAAATTACCCGGACCGCAGGTTTTAGTCCATGTTTCCTTCTACCAGGGTTTCATTTTGGGCACCAATTTTTGATCCACAGCCGGGTAGATGATCCTTTTAGTGAGGGGCAGTCCCAGCCAGAAATAGTTTCGGATATCCGCCTTCTTTGTTCTTTACATGGTTCTGGGATTACGACCATTTTATTGCCGGGTTTGAGCAAGGGACTCAGGTGTGAGGTGTGGGTTCCAAGTACAAACCAAACGCGCCAACCACATCCAAGCACCATACCCGAAGAAATTGCGCTCGCGACGGAGTGGCTATGTTGTGTCCCCTTCTTAGTGCGCCCATCGCAAGCAACCCACAGTGTCGCTTGGGGTTCTCGCCGGAGGGTCTGAGGGAGGCCGAAAAGAGCCCAACACCCACGCGAGGTCCATGCCTCCACTGTTGGCATGTGAACTTTTTGTTGGCATGTGAACTATTGAACAGATGCCCCATGGAAGCACTCCCATTTTTTCCTCCTCTATGTGTTTGGGGCGGTGAAAACGTCGCCGTCCAGGGGGAGAAAAAAACCGCGGCGCGTCGCCGTCCAGAACAAAAACCCCACGGCTGCTTGAAGCAGATGGCATTCGCGGGAAAAAAACCGCGCGCACACACCAAGCTCCAGTCATGGTTGTTGTTGGGAAACATTGGAAACATGTTGCTTATGGTGGTTTAGTGGTTGAAATCCA